CGTGACATGCTGACTTAAAACGTTTCTTGTCGCCACTTCCAAATGTTTAGATCTCCATGTTTCCTCACCTCCGTGTGGTTCCTTGTTTTCCCAATCTATCCTTCCGTGTTTGATGTCCCTCATGATGAGCAGATGGCTCTAGTTCTACAGCAGTGGCTACTCTCTTAATGCTGACTGCCATGTTGTTTCTGTCATTCTCTTGCCTGGGTCTTCTGTCGTTGAGTGCTGTGTGCTACAAATGCTTTGTGCTGAACATTGCTGTGTACTACCATGGTGTGTAGTGACTAATACTGTGTGGTTGACCAATGTTGTGCGCCACCGCGCCACAGTGGCGCGGTGGCGCCATTGCACCACAACAATGTGTGCTGACCAATGCTGGGTGTTGACCAATGCTGTGCGCCACCAATGATGTGTGCTGACCAATCCTGGGTGTTGACCAATGCTGTGCACAACCAATGATGTGTGCTGATCAATATTAGGTGTTGACCAATACTGTGTGCTACCAGTGCAGTGTGTTACCAATGCTCTGTGCTGAACAATGCTGTGTGCTAAAAATGGCTTGTGCTGACACTGCTGTGAGCAACCAATGTTGTGTGCTACCAATGTTGTGTGCTACCAAAGCTGTGTGCTACCAAAGCTGTGTGCTACCAAAGCTGTGTGCTACCAAAGCTGTGTGCTACCAAAGCTGTGTGCTACCAAAGCTGTGTGCTGCCAAAGCTGTGTGCTGCCAAAGCTGTGTGCTACCAAAGCTGTGTGCTACCAAAGCTGTGTGCTACCAAAGCTGTGTACTACCAATGTTGTGTGCTACCAAAGCTGTGTGCTACCAAAGCTGTGTGCTGCCAAAGCTGTGTGCTACCAAAGCTGTGTGCTACCAAAGCTGTGTGCTACCAAAGCTGTGTGCTACCAAAGCTGTGTGCTACCAAAGCTGTGTGCTACCAAAGCTGTGTGCTACCAAAGCTGTGTGCTACCAAAGCTGTGTGCTACCAATGTTGTGTGCTACCAAAGCTGTGTGCTACCAAAGCTGTGTGCTACCAAAGCTGTGTGCTACCAAAGCTGTGTGCTACCAATGTTGTGTGCTACCAATGTTGTGTGCTACCAATGTTGTGTGCTACCAATGTTGTGTGCTACCAATGTTGTGTGCTACCAATGTTGTGTGCTACCAAAGCTGTGTGCTACCAAAGCTGTGTGCTACCAAAGCTGTGTGCTACCAATGTTGTGTGCTGCCAATGTTGTGTGCTACCAATGTTGTGTGCTACCAAAGCTGTGTGCTACCAAAGCTGTGTGCTACCAAAGCTGTGTGCTACCAATGTTGTGTGCTACCAATGTTGTGTGCTACCAATGTTGTGTGCTAATTGAAGCTGTGTGCCGATTGATGCTTTGTGCTCACCGAAGTTTTGTGCTGACTGAAGCTGTGTGCTGAGGAAGCAGTGTGATGTAGGAAGCCGATGCTGTTTACAAAACCACGCTCTGTGCTACACAATTCGTTATGCTGATTATGCTTTGACCTGTGAACAAGCAGTCACAACGACCCACATCAGAGGGTGTCAACAAAAAATGTTACAGTTGTGGAGGAGACTACCCACACCAAGGTAATGCTTATCTCACTCAAGATTAGACGTGCTATGAGTGTGGAGCACTAACCGTGGATGCTAGTCCTGTTGGTTATAGAGCTGTTTTAGCCCAAAACAAACCTGGTCAACCATATTCCAGAGTAGTAATTGCCTACGCCAGCCGTTCTCTCACTGATGTTGAGCAACGATACAGTCAGACAGAGAAGGAAGCTCTTGCTCTTGTATGGGGCTGTGAACACTTCAATGTGTATCTGCTTGGTGCACCCTTCACCACGATAGTCACTGACCACAAGCTGTTGGTCAGTGACCACAAGTCCAAACCACCAGCTCGCACTGAGAGATGGGCTCTTCGTCTGCAACCATACAACTTTACGGTGAAATACAAGCCGGGTGCAGGCAATCCCGCTGATTACATCAGTCGACATCCTGCCAACAGTTTCACCATCACCAAGCATCAGCAAGTTGCCGAGGAATATGTACACTCTGTAACCTGTGATGCAGTCCCTAAGGCTCTCACTCTTGATGAAATCCGTACTGCACCCCCTAGAGGATCCAAGTCTGCAAGCAACAGTGGAGGCATTGACCAAAAATAATTTTCCACGCATCCCACCCTCAGGAGTTGGCCAAGATTCATTCAAAGCACTTGAACGCATCCAGACAGAATTAAATGTTACGCAACAACGTGACCAGTTAATATTGGTCACGTATCGCAGTAGTATTGGTCGTGTATGATAGTGAGTATTCGTCGAGTATCATAGTGAGTATTGGTCATGTATTGCAGTGAGAATTAGTCGTGTATGGCAGTAAGCATTTGGTCGTGTATGGCAGTAAGCATTTGGTCGTGTATGGCAGTAAGCATTTGGTCGTGTACGTCAGTGAGTATTAGTCAAGTATAGCAGTGAAAATTTGTCGAATATATTGCCATGACTATTCGTCGTGTATCGCAGTGAATATTAGTCGTGTTTGAAAGCGAGTACTGGCCATGTATCGCAGAAAGTATTAGCCATGTATTGCAGAAGATGATGGTCGTGTATGGTGTTACGTACCTCTATAAGATACGTAATTAAATAAATTAATATGTACCTTTATAATTGTGTATAAATTACAAGTATGTATATTGATATACTTATATGTTCTATGTAAAATAATTTCATGTTACATTGTTGGCGTTAGGCCCAACGTATCGTGGGAATGATTGTTTTATTTCTTTGTGTACTCAGTTTCCCAAGGGAACTAATGATTTATATGTGATCATATGTGGGTAACATAGGTGAATAATAATTGTGTGAACTGTATCTGGCAAATTGTAGTGGGATAGTCCGTTGCTGGATGAGCATGCCATCATTCCCCTTTGTATGTGTATTTTAATTACTATGTAAAGCAATAATTACCTTATTTTTTGTTATACCAATATGTATTGACCATTCATTAAGTTAGTTTAAGATTACTCTTGTCACAATATATTGCTCCATTGTAGAATTAATAAATATTGTAACTTTGACAATTTTTCGCGGGGCAGAGGCAATGATTTTGACTCCCGCAGATATGTAAGTCAGTGGCTGATACGGGGCTGGAGAGATCACATCTTTGTAGAGTTAAGTCTGTAACATTCATGTTGTGCCAATTTTTTTATTTTATTTTATTATGTGTGAAAGACAATACTTTTTGTTGTTGTATAAGTTAACTTGACCATCTGTGTTTTTATATTATACTGTATTCAATATATATATTATAAGTTATATGTATAATTTTTCAGTCCTAAAGGAAAATTTTAACAAAGTGCTCATTACTTATTAAGGGGTTACACTGGTGACCCGCTCTTGTGAACAGCAGTTTTTAGTAACCCTAGACCTTTTTTAAAGTTGGCTGTTGTAGGGTCACGAGCTGTAACGAACGATAGGTAACATATGGCGTTGAGTATTGGTTGTGAATGGCAGTGAGTATTATTGGTCGTGTATGGCAGTGAATATTGGTAGTGTATGGCAGTGAGTATTGGTCGTGTATGGCAGTGAGTATTGGTCGTGAATGGCAGTGAGTATTGGTCGTGAATGGCAGTGAGTATTGGTCGTGAATGGCAGTGAGTATTGAGCGTGTATGGCAGTGAGTATTGGTCGTGAATGTCCGTGAGTATTGGTCATGAAGGGCAGCGAGTATTGGTTGTGGATGGCGGTGGGTATTGGTTATGGATGGCGGTGGGCATTGGTTGTGGATGGCGGTCAGTATTGGTCGTGTATAGCAGGGATTATTGGTCGAGTATGGCAATTAAAAATGATCCTGCAAAGCAGAATGTATTAGTCTTGTATGATATTGGAGAGTATTGGCCGCGTATGCCTGTGAGTATTGGTCCAGTACGGCAGCTCGTTTTGGTCGTGTAGTGGGTGAGTATGGGTCAAGCGTGGCATTGAGTATTAGTCATGTATGGCAGTGAGTATTGGTTATGTAGGCAGATAATATTATTCGTGTATTGCAATAATGATTGGTCGTCTATGACAGTAAGAATTAGTCATGTATCCCAGTTATTATTGAACGTTTATAACAATGAGAATTGATCGTGAATGGCATAAAGCATAGCAGTGGTTGTGTATGGCAGTGAGTATTGGTCGTGTATGGCAGTGAGTATTGGTCGTGTATGGCAGTGAGTATTGGTCGTGTATGGCAGTGAGTATTGGTCGTGTATGGCAGTGAGTATTGGTCGTGTATGGCAGTGAGTATTGGTCGTGTATGGCAGTGAGTATTGGTCGTGTATGGCAGTGAGTATTGGTCGTGTATGGCAGTGAGTATTGGTCGTGTATGGCAGTGAGTATTGGTCTTGTATGGCAGTGAGTATTGGTCTTGTATGATACTGAGTATTGGCCGTGTATGTCATAGGGTATAGATCAAATATCGCGTGAATATTGGTCATGTATGGCAGTGAGTATTAGTCGTGTATGTGGGTGAGTATTGCTTAAGTATGGCAATGAGTATATGTCTTGTATGTGGGTGCGTATTGTTCGTGTACGACAGTGAATATGTTCATGAATGAAATAGTAAATATTGGTTGTGTATGGGAGTGACTCTGAGGATATTTTGAAAGGATATCTTGGAAGGCAAACCAAAGCTCATATGAAGTGTTACAGTGGTCGAAGGTGGTCTTATTTTCAGTGTTAATTACTTAATCAAGAGTAATGTGATACATTACTCTTGATCAAGTGGCAAGTGGATGATGCCCCAGGAGTCTGTGAGGCTTAGAGAAGATAAGCATTTGTATTTAAGACCTAACTGGTGAAAGCTACAATAAAGATCCTGGAGTATGAGAGGTTTGACACATAGCTGGATGATAGGCAGATGGTGAGTACCGTGCAACATGATGGTGAGCACGTTGCTGAAATATTATTCTTTAGCTATCAAGCTTGCAGGAGGGTCTGCAAGTGACCTCGTGGCTCCACTCACCTGCTGGGATGTCAATAGTGGTGTTGGGAATGATGGTAACGTTCCGGTCTCCATCTGGCTGGGTCCAGTCATAATTGGTCACCGCGAACATCAGTTCACCAGCTGGAGCCGCCGGGTCGACGACGACCACACACAGCTTAGCCGGTGTTCCTGAGACCCATTGTCGCGGGGTCGTGATCATGTAGCCTCTGCGGTAGTAGTGGTAAGGCATTATTTGACATTACCAGATAGACAATATGAAACAGCAACTATAATAATAAATGTTTATATACATTAAATTAAATAGGTGAATAACTTTCCGTTGGACTTGTAAGGACCTTTTGCATCTGCAAATATAATTACGAAAATGAGATCCATTTTGGACCCGTTGTTTGTTCTCGTGTACTGTCTTCTGTCATGACACAACCATGGCTGCCCTCCTTCCTCCCTGACGCCTGGCCTACTTTGTCCAGATTTCAGAAAGTGATAGAAGGGTCACATTTACTCTACTTTAATATTGATAATTAAGTTAATTTATATAAGATGTTTTTATGATGGTAAAGTCCAAAGACTAATGTATTTAAGAACAATTCCCAGCAAAATAGCTGGTGAATTATAATAGTATGTGGTGATGATATCCCGTTTTCTATAGACGGTAATTCCACTACAAGTTACGTTTTCTATGGGTAACTTGTTTATACAACACAGCTCTTATCTGTCTGTATGATATTATTATTAAATGGTGTCGGATTTTCCGACATAATTCCCCAGGGGGCTGCTCACGGGTCGAAGTCCTATTTAGAACAGACAAACACCGATACTCCTCCTTCGAATTATTAAATTAATTTGATGTTAGTAGTTAGTAATCACACATTTGTGTGTCTGTTCGTACAGGACGGATGTCCCGTACTAGAGTTGCAAGGGTTAGAAGTCTAATGCGATTTCATTTCCCTGTCAACTCTTGAAAGGCTAATATTCAAGCCTTATTACATATTATTTAACCCAGAAGACTGGATGTGATCAAGTACTACAGTCAAGTATGATTCAGGGACTGCAGTGAGATCAGTGACATTAGATATAACTTGAAGTTTGTTCAAGTAACTGGTCACTGATATATAAACACTGAGGCCCATGGAATACATCTTGATTAAATAATAAATGTATCAAATCAGTCATCAGATTTATTGGGGTTTAATTTAGTTAATTGATTCAGAAGATTGAATAGCTCATCATTAAAGTAAAGTATGGTTCTGAGACTGCAGTGGGTTCAGTGACATTGGTCGCAGTGACTTGTAGCTGTTTAAGCTACTGTTCACTGATTTGCCACTGAGGCCTCATGAACTCATCTTCAGCTTTAAATGATGATACTAACATCAACCTCTGTTACTATAGTCAGCTGTAATCTCCTTAGTATAATGCTACTGGAGAAATATAATCAGCTGACAAATTTAGATCTCTACTGGTATTGTTTATCTGCAGGCATAGGTCTCCCCAGGCTTGATACTGGGCCTGAGAGTAATTTACCTCCTGCAGAATTTAACATGGTTATACCCTGATATTTAGTAGGGCTACCGATGAATCGATGACAATAGTCTGTCCCAACAAGGAGACCGAAGTCGGTGAGGTGATCAGACTTAATATTATCTGCCAATTTTATTCCTCTATTTCTCAGGAATTTGGCTGTTGCTCTCAGACCTTGAACTTGTAGGTCTACTGGTATTTTGTCCACCACAATGGCTTGTACTCGACAGACGTACCTGCCTAAGCGTACTGATGGTTGTACCACCTGGTAGACTTGAGGTCCTGCATCTGTTACAAACCCTGAGATGTTGAATGACATCTGGGCTACAGGCCTTAATTGTAGTTCATCTGCCAACTTTTTGGTGATATATGTTCTCTGGGATCCTTGGTCAAACAACCCACGGGTATGGACCTTGGCCCTCTTATTCAGGATGGTAATTTGGGCAGTAGGCAAAGTCGTATTACCTTTAGACTTTGCCGATTGGACACTCTTTGTTTGTTGCACCTTGCAGTACTTTACTGTGGTGGGAATGCTATCTTCCACCTTGGGGTTTGGAGACGTTGTTTTGGTGTCTCTGCACAATGCTGCATGGTGCTGACCTTTGTTACACCTATTACAGGTATGTAATTGGGTATCACAGTCGTTGATGTTATGTTTCCTGAGGCACCTCGTGCAATGTTGCAAATCTTTGAGTCGCTCAACACGGGCGTCACTATCAGGAAAATTAGAGCAGTGGTACATTGAATGTTTCTCATTGCAGAACAAACATGTTCCATAGCTTCCAGTACCCTTTGGTGTCACGTTCTTGGATGACACAGTAACTATAGGCTTGGAGGGTCCCACTGCATATACGCCCACACTGCCACTGTTCCACTTTGGTGTTGAATTATATTGTCTAGATTGATTTGGAGTACCTTTGGTACTCTGTGGTTTACTATTATTGGTTTCTGAGGGTTTACTTGGTGGTTTTGATTTGTCATGTGTTCGTAATTGATGAACTACTGACTTTAAACCTTCAGATATTTCATTCATGGATAAGATGCTTTTATTGTAATGAGCACTCATTTGTCTCAATATGTCCCTAGGTATTTTCTCCTGGACAATTATTTTCAAGACCCACTCAGCCCCGTTTGTATCTGCTGTCAGGCTGAGGGCATTGATCAATGATTCTATCTCCAGCTTGAAGACTTGGAATGAATCAGCTGAAGCCTCCGGTGGGGGTAAATGCAACAGCTCATGAACTAAATGTGATGTTCTTACTTCTGCATCAGCATAATTATCCTTGAGGAGTTTTACTGCCAGATCATAGCCGTCATTAGTTAATCTCAGATGGGATACTACTGTTTTAGCCTCACCTGATAATTGGCCTTGCAAATAAGAGAATTTACTACTCTTTGGTAAAGATTGTTTTGAGTCTACAAGGTCAACGAATTTGTTCCAAAATTCATTCCAATCTTCCTCATCTTTTCCTGAGAAAGTGGGTAAATTAATTGGAGGGAGTCGAGCTTCTGCTTGACTCGTATTAGATACAACTGTTGTTGTTGTTGATGCTGCCTTGTTCTGGGCAATTAATTTGACATAAGGCTGTAATGTGGCTTGAGTCTGATCTTCATAATTCGCAAGATCAACCATAATGTCGTCTATTTCTGTTTCTGATAAATTGGTGTTGGCAAGTTCAGCCACATATGTTGCTATTTGGCATTTGATTTGCTCAAATTTACCTGCAGCTGCTTGATAATAGCTTTCCAGGTCAGCATAATCAACTTGAGATTGTTGTGACAAATCTTCACATTTCTTGATCTGTCTTGTTAAGTGGCCTTTAAGACCTGCAAGGGTTCTTTTCATTCTCCCTGCATTATCCATACTGGCTCGTTGGTGAAGCCTTGTGGGACTTGTACTTGGGCTGCTCATAATACTGAACAAGCTCTGATGGTAGCCTAGGGTAAATTCTGCACTCACTAGGCAAAATCCTACCTCTACTAGAGGTTAGCACTTAAAATTAATACACATTATATATATATACAATCATACACACTAATGATTTGAGTGATAAACCAGTGTCATTGGAAGTACCTTTAGGTTAGCTCTTCTATATCACCCTAGGATGGTAGAGACACTAATTAATCACTCAAAGGTGTAATGATCATAAGTAAATTATTATATATACAACTCAACTCGAGTTGATAAAAATTACACCCAAAATAGGGTCTGGACCATTCATTAATGGTGCTAGGTTAATCAATATAGTACAACTGACTATGGTAATAATGGGACTAGGATGAGCAATAATAGTTCAACTAGTCAGTATCCTACCCTGTTGTGGGTTGGCAATTAGTAAATATTATACTGTGATCACTAGTGCAATTTATATTAAATAATTCTCTATTTTGGAGAAATAATATACACAATTATTGATAATAGCCTCTTAATTAGCCTCTATGAAACTTCTAATATTATCTAGAAGTATTAAATATTATTAGTGACCTCGCGAAATAAAGTCCACAAAATTCGTGGATAATCTCTCGCGAAATGTAACACCACGAAATCCGTGAACAATCTCGCGAAGACACAGTCACTAATTTGGCTGGATTCTATATTAGCGCTGTCATTTCACGAAATAACACGCCACCAAATATCTGTGGGTGTGCATGAAACCGCTGACGAAGCTGAACTGGGCTGAGGGAGGCTCCTGAGCTCCCTCGAGGCTACGCTGCCGTCTTGACTGCTGGCTTTGTTTAAATAACACTGCACTAGTATATTTAATGAATCCACTGGTTAACTGGTTCATCCGGTACTAAGATGACCAAATGTGGGTTCACAAGGATCAAATAATCCGTCATCCGGTTCGAAGATGACCAAATAATCCGGTTCTGAAGGTCCAAATAATTCGGTTTCGAAGGACCAAATAATGTGGGAACCGACCTGTGAGATTTATATTTATTTAATTTATATGAATTTATATTTACGTTAATTTATATACTTCGATAGCAATTTGTATAATGATAAGTGGACTGTATTTCTGCAATAATCTCATAATCTCACAAATCGATCCTCTACACATTAGGGGGGGGTTATTAAATTAATATATATATGCAGCCAATCAAACTACAGAAATAACTACATACATTAAAGAGGTTCCTTATCTTATAGTACAGCAGGTTAGTCCACCAGGTATAACTAGGGTGTAGACACCAAATTATCCTCTTTGAGGTAGCTTCCATATCACCCAGTAACTGGTGCACAAAATCTTGCATCCTCGTCTTGACCTGTCAAAAGTGCGCTAGCTGTGAAGCCAGATACCTATATATGACAAGTATATCAGAGAAAACAGTACATGGAACATGAAGACCTGGCTTAATTACCTTTAGTTTGAGGCTTCCATGTGATCTAACCGAGCCTCTTTCCTGCTCGTTGCTCTAATATATGTGTTTTATTCTGCATTGTCTAACAGTTAACATATTTATTGGCTATACAAAATAAAACAAAGTTTTTTTTTTAAATGTTGTAGATTTATTCCAGTTTCTTGGATGCTGAGTCCCGGAACGGAGGATGCAGTGGATATTTCCTTGTGGAGTGTTATATCAAGGCGCTGGAAATGGAGTTGGCGGCTCTTGGGTCTAGTTGTTTTGATGAACCTAGAGCCTAAATCAATGTAAAAGCTCCTTACGCATGAACAAATACACAAGG